TATATATATATATATATATATACATATATAGGTGATCTCTCCTACTGCTTAATGACATAATGTGGTCATCGCGCTAAACATGCAGGTAAATAAATAAACATAAGTTGGCGTTATTACAAAATCTTTCACACGTCAATATAAACGGGCAGCGTGGGGAGCTAGAGAGAGGAGAGAGGGGTAGGATATGTCTAAAGAAAAAGAAGAAGGAGAAGCGCGGTGTGAGAAAGGAAGGGAGTATGTACGTATGCATGTACCTGCGTGTTTTTGTATGCGCGCGCATTGTCTGTGTGTGTGCATGCGAGCGTGTGTGTGCGTGCGCGCGCGTGTGTGTGTGTACCCGGGCGCGATTTTGCGTGTTTGCAGCTGTTTAGGTGCTCGAAAAACCACTTTCGACAAATGGCAGAGCACATACCTATATGAACAAGACACGTGCGACATTGTATTTGCTTTTAATATATTTCTGTGCCCGATACGAATAATTGGATCTGTTTGTAGAATCTGTCGGAATTCATTATGCAAGTGGTTTTGAAAGACACGACCTCTGTTTATACTTTACTTCAAACGCGTCCGTCCGCGATCTAGTCTGCCGCGGAGTTACTGTCGTTGAATGCTGTACCGTTAGATTGAACGGCGTTCTTTCGACAAACCCCGCGACAAGGCGAGTCTTGCTTGCGCTAGTGCACACGTCCCTTACACTCCATATAATTACATAATACATGGTCTTTCGCGTTTCCCATTTCATTCGGAGTGTCCGTCGATAATGGTACGGATATAAATATATATTGGGTATAAATACCATTGCGATAGATGAAATACTATTGACGATACTATTGCAGTATAATTGAAAATTAATTGGGATACTATTGCGATACTATTGATGTATCATGAAACTGTAAATTATATTGTTATATTTATAACACCGCATATGTTCGTATGTGCATGCGTATGTGGTACTGCAGTGCTGTATTTACTAGACTGGTACTCTGTCGTTCCACTCACACGCTCGCGCACAGCGACTGAGCTGGGCGAGTAAACCACGCGTAAATGAAGGGTGGGGGCAAGGCTAAAAATTTACAACAATGATGGAAGTGTCGGTAATGGGTTTCAGGCATATTTACGTGGGAGAACATCTATTTGCTGATAGGGTCTATGTCCCCCAGGGTACTGCCGGAACGTACCCTGGGTACGGTCCCGTACACCGGAACGTACCCTGGTAACTATGTGATATGCCGGACCGTACCTCGCTTACTCCCTACCGTATCCTGACTGTCCCTGTTCCGCCCACTACTGATGTCGCAAAATTTGAAATATATATACAGACCTGTATGATATCTTTATAAAGTTGGATTAGAGTATGAAACTGTAAAACCAAGAAGAAATTTCAACCTATATACACTGATGCGCGCAATCCTTTTGCAAATATCGCGATGATCGGGAATGCGTTTTCCTTTCGCAATGTTTACGACATTTTCGCGCGAGATTTTTGAAAGATGGCTCCAAGTGTTGTGGTGGAACAGGACAATTTGTATGATTATATTAATGGGTTGGAAACGTATAGACTCGCTGACACTTGTAGGAAGGGTCGGGAGGTGAAACGTAACAGGGTAAGGGTTACGAATTTTTTGCGGGAACGGACCGGAAACAAGGAACGGGAGCATAACGCGGCGCGTTTCCTGCCGACAAGCGGTATGTATTATGACATCGGCTGAAAGTCAGGGTACGGTTTGAAGTAGGCGAGGTACGGTCCGGCATATTAGATAGTTACCAAGGTACGTTCCGGTATACCGGACCGTACCCAGGGTACGTTCCGGCAGTACCCTGGGGGACATAGACCCTATCAGCCATATATTTATATGTTGATGATTACTGATCAACTATATGAATGACACGTACGTTCCTAATGTAAACTTTACAATATAGGCATATAAATTCACAGGTTTTAAATTATATGTAATAATTGTTCACGCTAAACTGACCAGGATACTACTCATCTAAACCGGGCACACGCGCGGCGACCGTCCACGCTTACCGGGCCCACGATCTCCACCCACGCAATGTAACCTATCATAACTACATCCGACAATGAAGCAACGCAGAATATGATTACACAGACGCGCCTGCCCACGTACGCATGGGGCAGCAAACATACAATGCGCCATTCAGAAAAAAATCATATACGGAACATATGTGCGTGTCACATATAGGTATTGCTTCATAAAGGACGGCACACGCTATCATAACTGGGGGGTCAACCGATTAAACAAAACCCGCATTATGAGCCTTTGTGTGAGGTCAACGGTCCCGCCTCGGCCACGCGCCCACTACACGCCCGGGGAACACTTTAAGAACCAAGACTGGAGGGCCTTATACCTAATGAAATACACGCTGCTGCGGTCTTTAGCTGAACGGTGCAATTAACGTGCCCACGTTCCATTGTGCTTGTGTTCATGACACGACAAAAACGGGCCGACAAAAACCGAACGCCGCTTTTTGCAAGTTT